GCTAATCGTCGAGGCATAGAATCAACTAAATTAGCTGTAATTACAGGTGAAATAGTGTTCCATTCCTGTAATAGTGCAGCTTTTAAGTCGTTTTTATTTTTAATATCTAGTTTCGGTTTGCGGTTAAGAAGCGCCCATACGTGCTCTATGGGGTTGAAGTCGGGTGACTGCGGTGGTGAGTGTAGTTGTTTAGGGACGTTATATAAAATCGACTCTTTTTTCGCATTTATTTCGGATATAAACGGCTTTTTTCTTGGAACTCTACTGTTATAGCCTTCATTTCGTAACACCAGTCTAACTGTTTCCGGATTTATGGTTATAGACCATACAACCGCAGTTGTTGTCGGCTGATCGTTGATCGTTTTTTAAATTGACCGCTTATCTCTAGGTGTCAGTTTATGTGGCCGGCCACTTCTTGGTTTATTTTCAATTGATTGACGTTCCTTATAATTTCGAATTACTGTCTGGACCGAAGAGCGACTTTTACTAACTATTTTTGCGATTTCACACCATGATTATGATTTTGAATTATGATATTTCGCACTGCATAAGGTATTTCTTTTCGTTTAGCTTCCATTGTTAGCTGATTGTTAGGAGGATAACTAATTACACTATTTATGTTAGTATACTGCTATGGCAACAACGTTGGTATGAAATAAAACGCAAACTACAGCAACTATAATGTTTACATATAGCTGTATGTAGCCTTTTTTGAGATAAAAATATGATTATGTTTTGTGTTTTTCATTATAAATAATAAGTTATACATTTTTATGTAAAATATTATAATTAATAATATACACTTCTAATATCCTTCGTTTAAAAATTACATTGAATTACGTTTCAGGAGCTGAGATATGATTTTCTGGGGTGTATGTAGACTTTATTGTACCACTGTATGCAATTTCTGGAAGCCGTGTTTATTGAAATTAAGAAATGAAACTTATTTTAAATTGAAGCTTAAAACTTTCTGTTTAAATCGATATATAATAATCGTTGGGTTGAATTAGAAAAATATTGAGAAAAAAAGTATTGAGGTAAAACTGACATTTTCGTATAACCTAAAAGTATCAAAAAAGATTCTAATTTATAAATTCCTGGAAGCCGTATTTATTGAAATTAAGGAATGAGACTTATTCTAAATTAAAGCTCAAAGCTTTCTCTTTCGAATGATATACAGGGTGATTTATAACATACGGAGCAGATTAAAAGAGCAAGTACTAGGGGCCAAACTGAGGATATTTTCTTAATAATGTTTTGACTACAACGTAATAATCACAAAGATATAGAGCATTAAAGTTGAATTAATTGCCCAACATTTCTTACGATATACGGTATTACACTACGTTTAAATTCAAACTGCGAATATTTCGGGGTTACTTCAGCAATGCCTGATTAGCACCAATAATAAAATCTTTGTAATATGGAAGTTACGGCTATTTAAAAATTTGTTAAATCACTCAAAAACTGGTGTTTGTTTTTTGAGAACCGCTGATACCATGTTTTTATTGCTGTCAATCAAGTTGACTTGGTTACTTAGCAAGGGACATGTCATTTAATTTTAATAATCAATGTCATTTAACGTCAAAATTAGAATTTTTACTAATCAAAAAATACAATGGTAATGTACAGCAACGAAGAATACGTAGATATGGTTATTATTTATGGAGCTGCTGGAGAAAACGCTGCACACGCAAGACGTCTGTATTTAGAACGATATCCAAATCGACAGATCCCTACTGAAAACACTTTTCTTCGGTTAATCCAGCGGGGAAGAGAGACAGGAAATTTGCAACCTAAGAAAGGTCTTGGTGGCGGTAGACTAAACAGACATGGAGTGAATGTAAATTCTAGAAATTGTGGAAGCGGATCGAAGCACGAGTACTCGTCAAATTTCTCACCAACTCGAGGTATCCCAGAATTTTGTTTGGCGTACGTTGAAAAGTAACGGTCATTTTCAAAAAGTGCAAGGACTGACTCCCGCTGACTATCCTTTGCGGTTGCAATTTTGCGAGTGGCTACTAAATCGTAGCAACAGAGAAGCAGATTTTGCGGACAGTATACTGGTAACGGATGAATGTTGTTTTACCAGCAATTCAGAGTGAATCTATGGACGGGAATTATGAACAATACGTTAATAGGACCTTTCGAATTACCAGGAACTCTTAATGGAACTTCTTATTTACAGTTTTTACAAGAAAATCTGCCAGTACTCCTGGAAGATATTCCGCTACTTATGCGACGTGAGATGTGGTTTATGCACGACGGTTGTCCTGCACATTTTAGTCGTAATGTAGGAGATTTCCTCGATAATGCTTTTCGGCAAAAATGGATTGGTCGAGGTGGACCTATTCCATGGTCACCACGTAGTCCCGATCTTAACCCACTGGACTTTTTTTTATGGGGATTCATGAAGGATAGAGTATATGCCACCGAGGTTAAGTATATGCCGCTACAGAGGACATACGTCCACGATTTCCACGATTATCGTTAAATTGGATTCGTCGTGCGCAGTTGTGCGTCGAAATGCAAGGACAGCACTTTGAACATATGTTATAAAGAGATTATTATTATTATTATTATGTTATTTTCTTGTTTTAGAGATTTTGTAATTTTGCATTTAAAACATTATTATTATCCGTTTCATAAATTAACATCTATTATTTCTTTTCATAAATTACGTGTTAAAACTAAACAATTAAATTGTCTACTTTGACAGCTCCTTCAAAAATGAGGATGGCGTTGACAAGTATTTTAATTGTTCTTTACTGAATATCAGCGGTTCTCAAAAGTTGACGCTAACTTATTTAAAAAATTAACATGCGATATGTATGTAACTATTAAGATTTTAACAAAACATTATTAAGAAAATCTCTTAAGTTTGACCTCAAGTATCTACCCATTTAGTCTCCTCCGTATGTTATAAATCACCCTGTATAATAATCGTCGGGTTGGAAAGAATACAAATTGATTCTTCGAGAGTTAGCACTATCGCAGTTTTCCACGTGTCTAATAACGAGTTCCATTCTATTATGTCATTAACTATCTTCGTGATTTGCAGTTTTGCATTTTTGGGAAACATCTTGAGTGCCTTGTTTGGGATACCATTTATGCTAATTTCTCCCTCCGTAATCTCCAGTATTTCCAGATTTACATCCAATATATTGTTCAGTGCTTCTTCTGGATCTTATCTTCCATTTTCTGTCTTATTGTCTTAAATTGTATTTTCAAGTGATCCGCCAAAAGCTCAAAAATTGAGCTGCTGGACTTTTTAATGGCGTTTTGGGTTCTGGCTTCCTTCTAATCTTCTTCAGTTCACTGAGATGTAGCTACATCCCGGTATTTATTACTCCGAAAGGTTTCCCTCCTCCTTTAATTTGGGCGTTACATCGTATCTCCCTGCAATTTTTCACTCTGCCTGACGTTGATGCTATCGGTGTAACGTTGTGCTCGAGATGCACGACGATTCATGTTTGTTGCGTTTGTATTCCCCGTCATGACATTACTTCCCTAAACAATTTTTTAATTATCGAATGTAAACCTAATGATCGCTAATTAAAGTGGCCATTTGACCTGGATTCCGGTTTTGCCACTACTTCCGGATCCATCAGCGCCCGATTTTCTGGATGTTCTTTCCCTTTGCGGTCTTAACCAACTAAACTATCATAAAAATTCTTATTATTACTAATTCTACCTACATGACATATCATGGTGACGCTTTTTGTTTTAGAGAAGCCCGGTTTCCTGAATTAAATGAGTACTTTAGCGAAATTGATTGTTTTAAAAGAGCTGAAAGCAATATCCAATCTGACCGAAAGGCGTTTTGGGCTTTTACTAACAATAAGTCTAAGAAGCGCGCGGATGTCATTCCTTCTATGATGTCATGATATGGAACTGTTATTGGTGAAGATGTCAGAATTGTTTTTATTGATCCTTTTCCATCTAGTAGAGTGTGGATTGTGTGGAAACGGATGCCTTCCTTTGAGTCAGATGCAATTTGACAGGATTGAGGTTGAAGAGGCTATTACATCTGATTATCTATTTTGCCAGCATTTGCTAAAGTGTTTGAGACAGTGGTTCAAGTACATCTATTTTATGGCCTTTAGTCTAAACTCAATTGTAGACATTTTTTTGCTTGTCGCATCTTTTCTGGATGATTCTTGTCGAGTTGATTCATTTTATACGGATTTTAGTAAAGCTTTCGACCGGGTGGATATCACAACTTACTTCTGTTTACACTAATGAAGTTTGGTGTTCCTATCTTGCTTCCTATCTGAAAGAGAGAAGCCAAATTGTTTCGGTTAATGGTTTTTTTCTCTAATCCTATATCGGTTTCTTCTGGTGTTCCCCAGGGTAGTCATCTAGGTCTTTTACTGTTTAATATATATGTTTAATATGTATATACCCAATGTTTAATGTATGCTGACGATTTAAAACTCTTTCATATATCAAACATATTGATACTGTGGTCTCCAAAGTCTGGAATGTGTTAGGGTTTATTATGAGATCCATGGTAGCTTTTTCTAACATTCATCTATTTTGCTTATGCACACTTAACTTTCGCATAGTCGTTTGGAATCCTCAGTATCACTCGTGTAAATCTAATCTAAGCTTTTGTGGGGATATGTTATATTTTTATAAACCTTTTAACAACAAATGTGTTTCTTCAATGCTTGTCGGTTCAATAGGTGTTCCTCCGAGATTATTTTGTTTTGACTTTCTATTTATAACACCTACTCCTAGAACCAATGCCTGTCAAAACTCTCCTTTATTGAGAATGGCAAAATCCGCAAATCGTGTTAACATAGATCTGTTTCAACATTCTTTCTATGCATTTAAAAGTTACTCTTTGCTACAGTTGTTGTGTTGCCTCAAGCGTTCATTTGGATGTGATATTTATATCATCTAAAATCTAGACTTAATTCATTATTATTATTGTGAACTGCAATTTAACTTGTACACAACTGGTTGTTTGTGGTACAGTGTTATTGGGTTCGACTTAAACTTTAACTTGATTTAATTTATTAATAACTTTTTAGTTAGTTCCTATTGTTCCTGGAGGTCGCAGCATTCCCCTCACGTTCAAAAATCGAGCCCAATATTTCGAACAAGCCATAAAATTCCGTCTGGAAGAATTCGATTTGCAAATAGCGGCAGTTCGTGAAGGAATGGCCGGAATAGTTCCGGTCCCATTGCTTTCATTGATAACTGCAGAACATATGGAACAATTAGTTTGCGGGATGTCGCACATTTCAATTCCACTTCTTAAAAAAGTTGTGCGATACCGAGAATTAGACGAAAATCACCAATTAGTGAGATGGTTATGGAACATTTTAGAAAGCTTCACCGATGAAGAAAGAGTTCTATTTATGCGATTCGTTTCTGGAAGATCAAGATTACCAGCTAATTTAGCTGATTTATCGCAACGATTTCAAGTAATTTTGCATTAATATCATTTTTTTATTAAATTAAAAATGTATTTGTAGGTAATGCGGGTTGATAGAGCCCCAAATGGTTTACCAACAGCCCAAACTTGTTTCTTTCAATTGCGTTTACCACCGTATACATCCCAAGAGATAATGGCCGAACGCCTTCGTTATTCAATAAATAATTGTCGCTCAATCGACATGGATAATTACATGTTAGCGAGGAATTCAGATTTAGGACCAACATCCGACGATGAAGAATATTAATTCAATAAAATTGTGTGACTGAAGAAATAATTTTCTTTTTTTTATAAGTAAAAAATATATTCTATATCGCGCGATTTATTTATTTTAGCTCAATGTTGTTATTTGTTAAGTTTTGGCTTGTGAATCAAGAATTTTTTAAAAAATCATTTCATTTTTAATTAAAAATAAAAATTGTCAAATTAAATTTCCCTCCTTTTTTTTATTTTAACACCCGATAGATGTCGCTTTCACTACCTATTTAAACTGTCAGATTGAACAAATCAGTTCACTTTTTGCGTTTTAACGTGTTGAATTAGCATATTAGATTAGCAAGCTGCGAATATGTTAAGGTCTCTAAAATCGGCCGTTGGTAAAATACAACGATGTCATTTCTCCGCTCAAGCTTTACCACAACCTGAAAGTCAACCAAAAGTTCTTTATTCCGGTGTAAGTACTTTTCCATTTTAACTTATTTGGTTACATTAAGTAGTTATAATACATTTTGCGGCGAGTTTTAAGATAAGATTGGGATGCTTATTTAAAAATAACCAATCCCGAATAAATTTTGAAGGTTATTTTTAAGGTTAGGTTCAAGTTCATTATTATTAATAATTCAAATAAAATCATAGATTATATTCATTCTAAAACGTGAATTGTTGCATTCAAGGTCAAAGTGGGTTATTAATCTTAATAAATTACTAATCTAAGGAATTTAATGTTTTTGTAATAATTTCATAACCTCACTTTCATAATTTTAATTATACAGGATGGCTCAAATGTCTGGAATATTTTTATTGTCTGCCACATTTTTTAGCGATATTTGCTTCTTTTTTGTTTTGTTGTTATAGCAACCAACATTGTTATTTTAAATGGGATGCATATATATTTTTTGCATACTTTGATAGAGGATAAATCCCTCTATGCAATGAACATATGTATCTAATCATATGGTTGTATGAGAAAAAAATGCGTTTTCTGAAAATATCAAATCAGCAAATTACAATCAAAGTAGGCGCCGAAATAACGCCGTTGACAGCTTTGAATGTCAAAAAAATGACAATTTCAACAATTATGAATGATTAATAATGTATGGGTACAGTGACACACATTTAATGTAGTTTCGTCTTCGGCCGTCCGGTTTTTGGAAGGTTTTTAACACTTCTTAATGTCAACTTTAATTTTATGATTATATTCGTAATCTTTATAAAATAACCTTTAAAATCAGTCCAAACATGACGCACTTATCTCGAAAAACAAAAAAGTTTGACTAAAAAACATTAAACCCGAAGTTAGCAACAATGAAGATAGCAATTTAGTTTTTAAATATTAATACCAACCTTAATTTCTGATTTTTTTATTATATTTTTGTTTTTGTGACAAATATTAAGACATTTTATAAAATTAGGAATATATCAAAATGACATTGACATTTCAAACCGGAAGTTGCTTATATCTCAAGTAATATTAGAATTAAACCTATCATGTTTGGGCTCATTTTAAAACATTTTTCACGACATTACAAACATGTCAAAATTGAGGTTGACATTTCTAACCGTAAGTTGACAATAACTTCTTTAATATTGAAGATAAATATGTCGTGTTTGTACTCACTTTAAAAAAATTTTAATGAAATTACAAATATGTCAAAATTGAGGTTGACATTTTACACCTGAAGTTAGTTATCATATAATAGATAAATGGGCAAATTCATGATGTACTCTTTATTAAAAAAATCTTTAAAATGTGTCCAAGCCAGTGGCGTAGCTAGCCATGAAGGGGCCCTGTATCAATAAAATATCGGGGGCCCTTTTTGGGGTAATAAAGAATACATATAAGAGTCACAAAAACAACAATACTTATAAACTAAACTTGTGTGTATGATATAAACTATATGGAATAAGTTAGATGGAGTTTTTTGATCGCAAAAATTGACAACTATGATAAGGTTATTAACCTTATCATAAACTATATGTGCAAATAACTAAAAATTCTACGTTTTTAAATAATTACTTTTCTGGCCTTCATTTCGGCAAAAGCATTTATGATATCATCATTGCTGATGACGATTTCAATTTTTCAAGTTCCTCTTTTTTATGGACAGTATTGATAAATCTGATAGTCGATCTTGTTCCATAGATGTCCTTAGGTATGTTTTAATGAGCTTCAATTTAAAAAAGCTTCACATTAAAGTAATTTTGAACGTTCAAACAACTATTCATTTATTTGTTTGTAAAAATATCATTCAACGTAACCATAGCTACGAACAAAGCCCACTTGGATTATTTCGATAAGTTCATGCCATCGCGATAGTTTGAAAGCATTTTCAATTAATTTCAGCGCCTACTAGAAACTTTTCCAAATCAAATATTTATTAATAAAAAAAAATTTTTTCGCAACATTTTTCTCATGCAACTTAATTCAAAATTTGCTCTAAGATACTCAAAAAATGTGTTCTTTCAGATTACCGAATACAAAATTGGGGTTGCCATTTAAAAAAATGTTGCCCCCTTTGACCCGAAATTGTACGCCACTGTAAAAAAAAAATTTAGACATAGGAAAAGACGACAAATTTATTAGTCTTTGACACCTGAAAGGATTCTCTCAAAAAGAAACTCGTTTTGAAGATATTTCAGGCGTTCCAGACTTTTTATTCTCCCTGTATGATAACTAACTTCAGGTGTAAAATGTCAATGTCATTTTGATATATTCTTAATTTTATAAAATGTCTTAAAATTTGTCACAAAAACAAAAATATAATAAAAAAAATCAGAAATTTAGGTTGGTATTAATATTTAAAAATTAAATTGCTGTCTTCATTGTTGCTAACTTCGGGTTTAATGTTTTTTAGTCAAACTTTTTTGTTTTTTGAGATAAGTGTGTAATGTTTGGACTCATTTTAAAGGTTTTTTAATAAAGAATACATCATGAAAGAACGCCATGAAGTTGCCCATTTGTCTGTTATAAGATAACTAACTTCAGGTGTCAAATCTCAACGTTAATTTTGACATATTTGTAATCATCATTAAAAATCCTTTAAAGTGAGTATAAACACGACATATCTCTCTTCAATATTAACGCAGTTATGGTCAACTTCCGGTTAGAAATGTCAACCTCAATTTTTACATATTTGTAATCGCCGTGAAAAATCTTTTAAAATGAGCCCAACATGATACGTTTAATTCCAATATTAGTCGGGATATAAGCAATTTCCGGTTTGAAATGTCAATGTCATTTTGATGCATTCTTAATTTTATAAAATGTCTTAAAATTTGTCACAAAAACAAAAATATAATAAAAAAATCAGAAATTAAGGTTGGTATTAATATTTAAAAATTAAATTGCTGTCTTCATTGTTGCTAACTTCGGGTTTAATGTTTTTTAGTCAAACTTTTTTGTTTTTTGAGATAAGTGTGTCATGTTTGGACTCGTTTTAAAGGTTTTTTAATAAAGAATACATCATGAAGTTGCCCATTTGTCTGTTATATGATAACTAACTTCAGGTATAAAATCTCAACGTCAATTTTGACATATTTGTAATCATTAAAAATCCTTTAAAGTGAGTATAAACACGACATATCTATCTTCTATATTAACGAAGTTATGGTCAACTTCCGGTTAGAAATGTCAACCTCAATTTTTACATATTTGTAATCGTCGTGAAAAATCTTTTAAAATGAGCCCAAACATGATACGTTTAATTGCAATATTATTCGGGATATAAGCAACTTCCGGTTTGAAATGTCAATGTCATTTTGATACATTCTTAATTTTATAAAATGTCTTAAAATTTGTCACAAAAACAAAAATATAATAAAAAAATTCAGAAATTAAGGTTAGTATTAATATTTAAAAATTAAATTGCTGTCTTTATTGTTGCTAACTTCGGGTTTAATGTTTTTTAGTCAAACTTTTTTGTTTTTCGAGATAAGTGCGTCATGTTTGGATTCATTTTAAAGGATATTTTATAAAGATTACGAATATAATAATAACATTAAAGTTGACATTAAGACATGTTAAAAACCTTCCAAAAAGTGGACGGCCGAAGACGAAACTACATTAAATGTGCGTCACCGTATCTATACATTATTAATCATTCATAATTGTTGAAATTGTCATTTTTTTGACATTTAAAGCTGTCAACGGCGTTATTTCGGCGCCTACTTTGATTGTAATTTGCTGATTTGATATTTTCAGAAAACGCATTTTTTCTCATACAACCATATGATTAAATACATATTGTAATAAAATCTCTCTTTCCGAAGAAACAAAAAAGACTAATTAAATTTAAGATCTTTAGTATTATAGATTAGGCTAAGTAGTTACGTTTTGTTATGATTTTCGTTTAGATTTAAGAAAAATTAGGGCGATGCGCAAGAAAAAGGTAATTCATTGAAGTCCATGACCTTCAAATTTGACCTTGTCATTTACAGTTTTGACAGATATTAATTTTGGCGACTTTTCAGACGATTTTAGATTCTAAAAACATGCGAGATCGATAGATTGTATCGATTTAACCCATAGGCCGCAATTATCTAAATCCCAATTCGTCATTTCCAAACGTCAACATCAAATTACGACTTTCTCGAAGGAAATTGACACCCGGAAGCGCGTTTATCTAAAAAAATGAAAAATTAGCAACAAAATTACAAAATCTTAATCAAATTTAAAGTTTATTAATAATTTCGAATATTTTCAAAATTGATAGTTATTTTCTTCAAAAAAATCAATTATTTTGGCCAACCTGTGTAATTTATAATTCCCGCCACTGAATCAACCAATCACAGAGAGCAGATTCAAACTGAGACGATTTATCCAAAAAGGGTATATAAGGCCGCGCAATGTTTCTAGGCGGCTGGCAACATCTCGAATTTTCCTAGTCTAATAATAAAGCTGACCAATAGCAACCCTTCTTTTTGGCTCTTCAATTTGAAAACACTTCTCCGAATTAAAAAAATAGTGTACTTAATTAAATTTAATTTATGTTGGTACCAATTCATATTGTTACAGCAACTCTAAATCACAACATTTTCATAATTCATAACGATCAAATTTAATTTTTTATAGATTTTTATTAACAACGAATGGCACAAATCACGATCAGGGGAAACTTTCGAAACTTTAAACCCATCAACGGGAGAAGTTATCACGGAAGTTCAAAGGGGTTCAAAAGCTGATGTAGATGCCGCGGTAAAAGCAGCAAGTGATGCTTTTAAATTGGGATCTCCGTGGCGAAAAATGGACGCCTCTGAGAGAGGTCGTTTACTCTATAAATTAGCTGATTTACTTGAAAGGGATGCTACATACGTTGCTGTACGAATTAATTAATTTAGTTAATTTTAATTAATTTAAATTATTATTTTTTAAGAGTTTGGAGACTTTAGATAACGGAAAACCTTACACGCTTTCTTATCCGATCGATATAGCTTCATCAATTAAAGTGTTAAGATACATGGCAGGGTGGGCAGATAAAAATCACGGAAAAACAATTCCGATGGATGGAAAATTTATGTGTTACACCCGCCACGAACCGGTTGGAGTTTGTGGGCAAATAATCCCGTGGAATTTCCCGTTATTAATGTTTGCGTGGAAAATTGGGCCAGCTTTAGCCATGGGGAATACAGTCGTTTTAAAACCAGCGGAACAAACACCATTAACCGCTTTATACATGGCACAATTAGCTAAAGAAGCTGGTTTTCCAGCGGGCGTTTTAAACATCGTCCCTGGATTTGGCGATGCGGGAGAAGCTTTATGCAAAAATACGAGTGTAAATTAATATTAATGATAATTTTAAAATTGATTAATTGATTTTATTTCTAATTTAGGTTGATAAAATTGCTTTTACCGGTTCAACGGAAGTTGGGAAAAAAATTCAACAAGCCTCTGGAATTGGAAATTTAAAACGAACAACTTTAGAGTTAGGCGGGAAAAGTCCTAATATTATTTTAGCCGATGTTGATATTCCTTTCGCGGTCGAAATGGCTCATCAAGGATTGTTTTTCAATCAAGGTCAAGTTTGTTGCGCTGGATCTAGGACCTTTGTGGAAGCAAAAATTTACGATGAATTCGTTGAAAGGTAAAAAAAATTATTATTGACATATGGGGGATTTTTTTTTGATTAAAATATCCTGATTGATAAGTTTATTTACCAAATATCGATAAGATTTAGGTTTAGATTAGAGCGGTTTTAGTTGAACAGGATATTGATTTCAAAATGGAAATTAATTGATTTTTTAAGTGTCGTTAATCCTTTTAATCGCTAGGTACTTCAATTTCAAAACAAAAATGTAGTTATCTGTTTTATAAATTCCATTGTGAATCAGTCATAAATTTAATCCTATACACTTATCAAACAACATAGCAAGTTGGTATTTTTACCTAACAAAATAAGCTATGAAAATTAACACAAACACCCAACATTTTCTGTGTTTATCTCTAAAGTATATCAAACAAAATCCTAAAATAAAGCTTTATTTTTAGTTTAGGAATTACATAATCTTATCTCAAAAAGGGAATGAACTTTGTATCGTCACGTTTATTTGTTTATGACATTTATTATTAATAACTTTTAGATGAAAATTTTGCATATTAACGTCATTTTGACAGTTCGAAAACTATATAATTGGTACCAACCCACAAAATATTACTAGCAAGGAAAGTGTCAAAACTGTCCCTCACCGATTTCGTTTCAATTTGGTACAGCGATTGTATGGGCCAAAATAATATTTACGTATTTTTTTATACGTGTTAATAAAGTCTCTGGGGCGAGTTATAAGGGTTGGAAATCGAGACGAACTATACCGGGTGTAACAGAATCATGGTACACCCCCGTATCTCCTTTAGTTTTGAAAATAATTGATTTAAATTTGGGACATCCTATACACATGATAAGAGACACTTTTTGACATACAAGTAATTTTTTTTTCAACTGCGGTTTCGCCGGAAGTGACACTAACTTTAGATTTTTAAATAAAAAGCCGATACAGGGAGCTGAGCAGCTTTGGGTTGAGTTGGTCTTGGGAGGGATGCATATAGCTTTTGGTGTTTGTTATAGACCTCCAAATTGTGATCTGAAGCTATTTCTTGAAGGACTTGAAAGGTCACTTTCTGTTGTATATCCCTCAGTTGATGAGATAGTTGTTGTTGGAGATTTTAATGTTAACTTTTTGGTTGAGAGTCCATCCACTATATCTCTTAAGAGTACCCTTGAGGTGTTTGCCTTGCGTGAGGTTGTTGACGTGCCTTCTAGGATATCTAGCTCCTCCGTCTCTCTTATTGACCTGATCTTTGTATCTGGTGCCCTGATGGTTTCTGATTGTAATACGCTTGATCTTGGTTTCTCTGACCATCTGTTGATTTTTTGTGAACTGACAATTCAAAGAATTAGGGCTAGATCCAGGTTTGTTACTTTTCGCAATTTGCGTAATATTATCATGGACAATTTTAATAGAGACTTAGATATTATGAATTGGGAGGCTTTATATGTTCTCCCCTCTATTGATGAAAAGGTCGACTATTTTAATGAGGTTTTAATCTCTTTATTTGATGTTCATGCACCACTCATTACTGGAACTGTTAAGAAGGACTCTTTGCCGTGGTTTACTAGCAACATCAGGGAGATGATAGGACTTAGAGAGGCTGCCTTGAGGCGTTACAAGAGAACAGGAAATCCTGTACATTTTCAATACTACAAACAGCTGCGTAACTTTGTCACCGGTGCTATTCGTCGTGAAAAAAAGGCTTTTCTTGAACAGAACTGTGTGGTTGGGGGACCTCGTTCTATGTGGAGGACATTGAGAAAGTATAATGTTGTTAAGTCTAATATTACAGATTTACCTCCTCATCTGGCCGATCCGGACAATATTAATTTGTTTTTTTCTGAAGCTATTGGTGATGTTGTTGTTGAACCTGACGCTGATTTATTACATTTTTATGATAGATATAGATTAAATCCTGAAGGTACTACCTTTACTTTCAGTGACGTCTCTGTGGAATTTGTTGAGCGAATGTTACTTTCATTTAAGTCCACTAGTGTTGGTTCTGATGGAATTTCCCTGGATATGGTTAGGTTGTGCTGTCCTCGTATTTTGAATGTTCTTTGCCATATAATTAATTTCTGCTTGAAAGAGTCAGTTTACCCGAGTGCGTGGAAGTTTGGTTTGGTGACTCCTGTTCCTAAAGCCAATCCAGTTAAGGAGTTTAAAGATCTGAGGCCCATTACCATCCTCCCGGTTCTTTCCAAAGTGTTGGAGAGGATTATGGCGGAACAACTACAATCCTTTTTAAATTCTAATCATATTTTACCTCAGAAACAATCTGGCTTTAGGCGACAGTATAGCTGTGCCACGGCACTTCTTGATCTGACAGATGACGTTTTTAGAGCTCTGGATGGGGGAAGATCTACTGTACTTGTGCTTCTTGATTTCAGCAAGGCATTTGATATTTTGAATCATAACCTTTTGTTGGCTATTCTGAGGTTTATTGGTGTTTCTGATTGTGCTGTTTCCTTGTTTCGGAGCTATCTTTCTAACAGGATGCAATCGGTTAAGGTTAAATCCGTTTGTTCTGATCCTTCTACAATTGTAGCAGGTGTACCGCAAGGTTCTATTTTGGGTCCACTTTTATTTAGTATATTCACCAGCAATTTATTTTCAAAATTAACCTTATGTTCCTATCACTTATATGCGGATGATACACAGCTTTATTTCGACCTCATACCTGATGAGTTGCCTCATGCATGTGACAGAATTACTGAGGAATTGGGTCACTTATGTGTGGAGATACAAAGGCATGCTCTTGTGATCAATCCTGACAAGACCCAATGCATCTTATTTACTAAAAAGGGTAACTTATCTGTTAATAAAAATGACATTAACATTAGTATGCTAGGGGAGCAATTAAGAGTGGTGGACTCGGTCAAGAGTTTGGGTGTTGTCATTGATGATAGGCTTACTTTTGGTGATCACATTAGGTTGATATGTAGGCGCGCGTATGGGTCCCTTAGAAGCCTCTATTTTAGTAAAATGTTTTTGTCGATAAAGCTCAAACGCCTTCTCTGTGATGCTCTAGTTTTGTCTCACTTTAATTATTGTAACGTTGTATTTGGTCCATGTCTATCTTTTGAGAGTTTGCGAAGAATTCAGGTCGTGCAGAATTCGTGTCTTCGCTTTATTTATAAATTGAGGAGAGGTGATCACGTCTCACAAGCTCTTCAGAATTGTGGTTGGCTGAATATGCGACAGAGATTTGTTTTTCATTACTTGTCTTTTATTCATGGGATTATTATTTCTGGTAAACCTCCTTATCTTTCTCGCAAGATTACCTTCAGAACTGATGTACACAATTTGAATCTTAGGCATGGATTTTCTATTACAGTTCCGCTGCATAGATCGTCAAAATTTCAGTGCTCGTTTTCCTATCAAGTAGCTCGTTTTTGGAACGCGATTCCCGGTTCTGCGAGGTGTGCCCGCTCGGTTCAGTTGTTTAGATCTATTGTTTTGCGCGAGAGGGTGTTTGATCGGTTTTTGTGATAATTGATATAGTGTTGCTTTTGATTCTTTTGGTAATTTAATAATCCTAACTACTTGTTTTTATTTTTGTTTTTATTTTTATTATCTCATTTTCATTGATACTGCTCAGTTTTGATTTGATTTAACTTTTATTTTATTTTCTGCTGCTGTTCTCATTAGGTGCAAGTAAAATCAGTGGCATTGTTTTGCCTTTTCTGCCCTTGCACCCTTTGAGCTATAATTTAAGTTTAATATTATTGTACTTTTCCTTATTATTGTATTTTGTTTTTTCTAATTTGGCTCAATAAATTATTATTATTATTATTATTAAATGAAACACCCTGTATATTATTACATTTTTGAAATTTGAATAATTTTCTGAATCCAATGGTACCACATAAGTGACGTTTCAACGTCAATATTTTTAGAATTTAATGTTTAATTTTCCATTTAAGTGTGCCATGAGAGTTCCGTTTTATTCTAATTAACTCGTCTAATGCTAGAAAAATCTAAATTCCGCCAAAAATACCAAATTACGTGATTTATGTGCAAATAAAGTTCATCAAAATGACGAAATTTACATTTTTCTAGCATTAGACGGGTTAATTATAATAAAACGGAACTCTCATGGCACACTTAAATGGAAAATTAAACATTAAATTCTAAAAAATATTGACGTTTGAAATGTCACTTATGTGGTACCATTGGATTCAGAAAATTATTCAGATTTCAAAAATGTAATAATATACAGGTGTTCCACTTAAAAATCTAAAGTTAGTGTCACTTCCGGTGAAACCGGAGTTAAAAAAAAAATTACTTGTATGTCAAAAGGTGTCTCTTATCATGTGTATAGGATGTCCCAAATTTGAATCAATTATCTTCAAAACTAAAGGACATACGGGGGGTGTACCATGATCCTGTTACATCCGGTATACAAGAAGAGTCAGAAAGAATGGGAAATCCGAATACCGGAGATTATTGTACTATTAACATAAAATTTGGCAGTTTTATGTTTTCGAGCATAAGAAATACGAATTTCAAACTTGTTTTCCTATTGCTCGTAGAGGGCGCTACATACACACTGCTTCTTTGATAAATCAAATCATAAGTTTTTTGGCTATCGAGCTATGACTAATAAGAGCTACAAATCACAAAGAACATTCAATTTTACACAAAAAAGGTACTCTTATTTAAAATGTCTAAGTCTATCGGTTTTCGAATTATTTACTTTTAAATGGTTAAATGTATTTTGGCTTCTAAAATTTTTAATTTTTAACATAAGCAAAGTTGGCTTATTTTTCTGCTCATGTTTCGACATTTGCTTCTTAATTGTCAACATTGATTTAATTTCCGTGTGTGTTGTAAAGAATAAGAGAGCGATCCTTTTTACGGTTTTCACTCTTTTATTAATTATTTATTTTAAAGAAATACAACAGAACTTTTTATTTGGCACGTAATCACTCGTACGGTTCTTTATTAATGTCTCTACCCGACACCCCACCAGTGTTGCAGGAAAATGCCAGCTTCGCACTACAGATGGCGTTAGTTCTCACATGTGCAGTAATCATTTTTACCAACAATAAAGTTATTACCAATTTGAAAATGTCACGACATAATGAGTTTTCTAATAGTGTTAAGATATGTTTTAATATAAACCAATTTTAATACTTCTGCAGCACTTCGGGCTGCTGCTCGACAAAAAAAAATTGCGTCAACGAAGAAGAAGAGATCCTGTTTCGAGTTGCAGAAAATCCATTATGCCCACTTTCTACAAAACAAATTATGCTAAAATGAATATTTTCTTGACAAGATTCTGTTCACTGATGAAGTTTACATCATATTTCTCATGCTCGAAAACATATAACTAACAAATTTAATGTTAATAGTACAAAAAGCTTCGGTGCCTTGAAAACCACCGACTTGTGTATTCGGATTTCGCATTCTTTCTGGCTCACCTGTATATTCGCGTATAACTTGAAGACGAAAGCAGCTATCGAAATGTGGTAAATGTAGAATGATATTCATTTTTAAAGAGTTTTTCATTGATATATTACACATATATCTGAGGAGTCTAAGAGGTAAACTACCCTACTTTTTTTTGGAATAATTTAAAAACTATCCATCCTATTCTGGCAGCATTAAGTAGCCTTATAGTACGATTAAAAATATTAATTACGTGTTCTTTCTCATTTGTTTCTGACCATCCCCTGCAAAGTTACGGGGTATAATAGATAATGTCTTTCTTTAAGAATAATGTGATAAAACTGTTACACTTTTGAATAATATTTTGGAGAAAACCGTAAATTAGTTGTAAAATAAACCCTGTACGACATTTAGGGGTGATTAGGATAGTTAACCCCAAAAATGATCTTTTTTGGCGAGTATAGCTTGTCGATTTTGGTGCAATTTAGCACGATGATTTCTGTATACGTTAAGTAGTACTTTTGAAAGAACTTATAAGGGTTAGAAATTTGGGGTTGAAAACATTTTTTACTATCCATTTGCGGCAATAAAGTGACATTTTGTGCTACTGTCTAGTAAACTGTGCATTTACAGGCAGGTAAAGCATTCTAACTTACGAAACTAGTTTATCTTACCTGCCGCAAATTTTGATAAACGCATTAAAAAAAGCTTACTTTTTTTGCACGCTGTATTTGAAGTTCAAATTTTGAACCAGCAACCTCTACTTGAAATCGCACTGTCTTTTCCACTGACCTTTAATACCCATTATAATCGTCGTGAAAAATCCTTTAAAATGAGCCCAAACATGATACGTTTAATTCCAATATTACTGGAGATATAGGCAACTTCCATTTTGAAATGTCAATGTCATTTTGACAAATTCTTAATTTTTATAAAATGTCTTAAAATTTATTACAAAAACAAAAATACAATAAAAAAAATTAAAAATTAAGGTTGGTATTAATATTTAATAATTAAATTGCTATCTCCATTGTTACTAACTTCGGGTTTAACGCTTTTTTATTCAAACTTTTTTGAGATAAGTCATGTTTGGACTCATTTTAAAGGTCTTTTAATAAAGAATACATCATGAACGAATACCATGAAGTTGTCCATTATGTGATAGCTAACTTCAGATTTAAAATGTCACGTAACTGGTTCGTTAGAACTTTTTCATGTTCCACTATTCATAGAGGTTTGAAATTTTGGTAGCATGGGTTGTTCATTCGGAACTTTCGATCTAAAATATTTTCAAGATAGCCGCCACTTCCGGTCTATCGGAAGTAAACCATAACTTCGTTATTTTAAATGGAATGCTATAGTTTTTTTTACACCGTTTAATTGTAAGTAGAAAAATAGGTTGACTTTGATAAAAGTTATTGGCCCCTAGCTTTTTTCGTTTTCGAGTTATTTTGGATTACTCTTCAGATGCTGTCAATAATGGAACACCTATATTTTATTAGCCTGTCAGAAAGGAAATTAAATTTCTCTACAAATTATCTATAATCATTCCTCTAAGATGCCCAGCTAAACCTAAAACTTTCTAGTTCTGGTTTAAATTGTTATTTAACCCTAAATTCTTGTGCATTTTAATTGATCTAAAAATTTTTTTTTTTGATTTAATCCACTTACCTTGCTTATAATTTCATCCATTTACCCATTTTGAATTAAGTACAACCTTTAAATCCAATTAATTATGTTTTTCATTAAAAAAACTTCAATTCAACGTCAACTTTGACAAGCAACTGCAATATTTGGATCTTAATCACCATGGTAACCGAGTCAAGTTGGATAACCTTAAAATAATAAAATTTTATTTCGATTTTTTTTATCAATTCTAACCTAATTTTTATTAATTTTAAAACAATTCGAATTCTTTACGATTATCCCGCATTTTTTTATTTCTTAAGTGGAATACACTGTATAAATAAAAACAGAAATGTCAATTCTTCCAATTACGTCACAACACGACCTTTTGCGGGGGGATACGTTCAAAACAACAGCGTTTATAGGGAGTTGGATAACCTTATACAGTATATTTACTCAACGGACAATAGCTTCGTAGAAATGCAACTCTCTAAATAAAAACTTTGTACTAAAAATTGANTTCTTCCAATTACGTCACAACACGACCTTTTGCGGGGGGATACGTTCAAAACAACAGCGTTTATAGGGAGTTGGATAACCTTATACAGTATATTTACTCAACGGACAATAGCTTCGTAGAAATGCAACTCTCTAAATAAAAACTTTGTACTAAAAATTGAACGCATTTGGCGCCATCTGTTGGGGATATTTTGGAATTATTCAGCTAAGAACCGAACCATTAGAATACAGGTTGGATTGGGTTTATATATAAAAGCTCCAACCACAGAATAACTGTTTGGAAAGTGTAAATCAACGTTCCGAATGGTTGGGAATTCCTCAGATGCAATTACTTATAGCAATTACACCTGTCAAATAATGCCGCTACATTTCAATATCACCGCATCATAGGACATGTGAGATTGCATCTGACGAGCTTCCAACCAGTTAGAACGTTAGTTGAAACAAAGCTATAATGTCAATTATAATCTAATTATTTAATCATACCATTATTACTTTATTATACTCTTACCGAAAAATCACTTTAAAATGACGTTTTTATCTGTCATTCTGAACAAACTTCAACTTTTAAAATTTTAAAAGTTGAAGTTAGCGGCAAATTTAAAAATATAACACGAATTAGAATCTATACTTTTTAAAATTAAAAGAATGATACTGGTAATAATTGTTATTGCTGTTTCTCATCATTCCCACTATTAATAATAAAATTGTTAGTTTAATTAAATTATTTCAGTATAGATGCTAATGCCATCTTACGGTGGAATTTCGACATACAATCAGCCCCTGGGGCTGAACTTGACAATTATTTGAATTATTAAATTAATTTTTTTAGGACTTTCTAAAGGTTTGTTATTAAAAAAACATAAACAAATTCCTTTTTTTCGTATGATTTAAGCATAAGTTAATTTTCGTAAAAAAAAACATGACGTTTCATAAAATTGACATTTAATTTTAATAAATGGGGTCATACACGATTTTTTTTTTATTATATTTTCTGAAAGTTTATATAAAAATATAGTTACCGTTATTTTTCTTTTTAATATTTTCGAACAAAGTCATTGTTAAAAAAATTATTGAAAATTTATATACCCATTTGCGCTTTTAAAATTCCCGCGTTGATGACGTACGATTCTCACTTTTGCGTCCCCTGCTCCCCGCTCAAATGCGAGAAAGAGATGAACGTCATTTAGGTTGTATTGAAAAGAGATAGAGTGTTTGTAGGTTATGTTTATTATGTTTTGTTCATGGATGTAATAGAGACACTGTATTACATCCATGGTTTTATTTTGACACTGTCACACCGCAAGCGCTATCTAACGGACAATTTAACTTGTTTTAAGCAGTGCGGTTCCTACGTCACAGAAAAGCCGCGAAATTATTTCGTTTGAATATTTGCTATTTTTCACTTCAAATTACGCAAAATATAAAATTGATCAAAATATTTCTTTTACTTTGTGTTCATGCATATACTTGCATATATCGTTTGACAGAAAAATTTTCTCTAAATTTAATAAGTGAATATGAACAAATTGTTGTGAAGCTGGTTACAGTTGGTGACATTGAATTTGTGTCACATTGACGTTTAAATTTTATTTAAAAAAATAAATCGTTCGCCCCAATTTCTAACCCTTATAACTCGCCCCAGGGGCTTTATTAGCATTATATTATTGGTGAGGGATAATTACGACACTTCCCTTGTAAGTGATATTAACACAAACAATAATTAATGTTTACCATTGTTAGATATCACTACCTACATTAAGTCTTTAACAACGTTATTATAAAAAAATCTCACTTTACATCATTTTGATATTAAAATATCGATTTTAACATTACCTATTTGAATCAAAAAAAATAATTTTTTTTGTAGATCCGTTGAAAGAGCGAAAAATCGTATTGTTGGAGATCCCTTTGATTCCCGAACAGAACAAGGCCCCCAAGTCGATCAAGATCAAATGAATAAAATCCTTTCATTAATCAAATCAGGGGTTAAAGACGGCGCTAAACTTTTAACAGGAGGCGAAAGATTAGGAGATAAAGGCTATTTCGTCCAACCAACCGTTTTTTCAAACGTCCAAGATGATCATTTAATCGCAAAAGAAGAGGTTAAAAAATCTAATATAAGTTATAATTTTTTTTAAATTTTATTTTTAGATTTTTGGCCCTGTTCAACAATTAATGAGATTCGAAAAATTGGATGAGATAATCGAACGCGCCAACAACACCAATTACGGTTTAGCAGCGGCCGTTTTTTCGAAAGATATCGATAAAATTAATTATATTACGCAAGGGATTCGCGCGGGAACCGTTTGGGTGAATTGTTACAACATTTTCGGCCCACAAACGCCATTTGGTGGATATAAAGATTCAGGATTTGGCAGGGAAAATGGCGAATATGGTTTGAGCCAATACACGGAAGTTAAAAATATTGTCGTTGCTGTTCCACAAAAGAATTCTTAATATAATAATATATCATAAATATAATCGCCATTTTTCACCAATCAAGTTATTTTTTGTATGTTTCTTTTTTCTTTGTATTGAATAAATATAATCCTAATTCGATTATAACAATATGACACCCTTATTTGTTCTAGATCGGTATCTATTTACCAGAAGGGGATAAAAAGGTTGAAATTGAGTAAAAAAAGGGAAAAATGACCAATTCGAATTGTCTAATATGTTTGTTAAGACCAATTTTTACTTATTCAAGTATAATAACCACCCAAATTGTTTTATCTTGCCCTCATCGCGATGAAAAGTTTAAGATTGAATACTCGAAGTTATTTGGAGCGATATCGACCGTAATATTTTTAATTTCATTAACTTTATTAATCATTTTTTACCAAATTTTTTTAAAAAGCACCGAAAGCATAATCGAGGTTGTTTTTATAATACACGGAATGTTTTCTTACACAAGGATGGCGAATTTAACATTTTTCGGCCATTTAAGAGTAAAAGAAAAAATTATGGAGTTAAAACAACTTGTTAAAGTGCTAAATGAAGCTTCTTATTATGGAATTGAAGTGTTTTTAACCGAAACTACGATTCAAAGATATAAAACTTGGTCGGTTGTTGCGATAACGGGAGCTGCGTTACTTGAAGGGGTTTTTTTATTATCGTGTAGTTTTTATTTCGACACCACGTTATGGACTTTAATGGAGCAAACCACGAACGTTTTTTGCTCATTTTTGCATGTTATTGCTGTTGGGAATTATATTTTATTTGGGTTTTTGTATAAAAAGTTATTTTCGGTTTGTTTAAATGAAATGAAACGAGATTTGGGGGAAAAAAATTGTTTCATGGTTATTAATAATAAGAAGAAATTTAACAAATTAATTCGGTTGTATTTAAAATTAATGAAATGTTATGAAATTTATGGGAAAAGTGCTGAAGAAATCGATACGATCTCGTTAATCATGTATATAGCGATGTTTATTAACACCGCTTTTTTAATTTATATTGGTTGTTACTACGAAACTATAAATTATAGATTCGTTTTTAACTCGATGCAATCATTGAGTGGATTTATAATAATTTCTTTTTATTTGTTTCAAATCGAAGGGTTAAAGCACATTGTAAGGAATTAAATTTAATAATCCTAAAAATAAATTGATTTATTTTTAGGGAAATGATTTAAAATCGTTCATTTTTAAATTTCCAATTAATTCGCTTGATTCGTTTACCTCAAATCAAGTTGAACTCGCTTTAATCTTGCTGGAAATTAAAACACCTTTGATAAGACCACTACAAATGTTTACAGTTGGAAGTTCGCTTATTGTTAGCGTATGATTTCGAATTTACTTTTTAATATTTATTTAAATAATTATTTTTAGATGTTTGCATCAACAATAACCTACGTTTTAGTTGCACTTCAATTTCACGTCATGTTTTCCGATTAGTTAAAATTAAAAACTAGATGGCAGCATTAAGTACAGTACATAGTTTAGTAAATAAAAGGACTGATTGGAAGAGTTTCAAAATTAAAATCGAGAACTCCATGAACCTTTCTACACCAATAAGAAGCACTGAAGTGCAGTTAGATACATAAGTAGAGATCAAACCTAGAGTCAAGGGCAATAATTGACTAAGCGACAAATGAATAATGTTGAGAAAAACGGCATTTTCGTTTTCATCCCTCTAAAAATACAAGACTTCTCAGAATATACAGGCTCAAACTATTGAAAATTGCTTGGTGCCTGTCCATTTTTATCACAGAACACTGATGACAGCTATCACAAGCACAGAGGGCATACAGGGTGTTTCTGTAAGTCGTTGCATAAATTTAATCAATAAAAATAGAGACAAAATGATGATGAAAAATTTTTGAAGGAAATAATCTAGAATTTGCCATCTTGGCCATCTTCAGAGACTCTACAAATAGATTATCTCTCATCTTATCCATTTTACAACCAAGTTTCTTAATATTTTTTTTTGTTTTGATAAAAAAGGTCACATATCAAAGTCGAAATCAGATTATTAGCTATTAATTTACAAAGTTAAAGTTTAAAAAGTTGTAAAATGAAATTAAGGGAGAAATTCAAAAATCATCATGTGGCTTATTTTTTTTAATCAATGTGAAATGACCCAAAAGACGTTAAAAATAAAAAGAAAGTGCGGAAAAGTGACTAACACTAGATTAACTTCAGTTATAAAATATCTAACTTCAGGTTTAAAATGTCAACCTCAATTTTGACATATTTGTAATCTTCATTAAAAATCCTTTAAAATGAGTACAAACACGACATATTTATCTTCAATATTAATGAAGTTATGGTCAACTTCCGGTTAAAAATGTCAACCACAATTTTGACATATTTGTAATCATCGTGAAAAATCCTTTAAAATGAGTACAAACATGATGCGTTTAATTCCAATATTACTCGAGATATAAGCAACTTCCGGTTTGAAATACCAATGTCATTTTGATAAATTCTCAATTTTTATAAAATGTCTTAAAATTTTTCACAAAAACGGAATTATCAAAAAAAAACAAAAATTAAGGTTGGCATTAATATTAAAAAATTAAATTGCTATCTTCATTGTTGCTAACTTCGCGTTTAATGTTTTTTATTCTAACTTTTTTGTTTTTGGAGATAAGTGCGTCATTTTTGGACTCATTTTAAAGGTTTTTTAATGAAGATGACAAATATGTCAAAATTGACGTTGACGTTTCAAACCGGAAGTGATTGTATTTCCATTAATATTAAAGTTAAACATGTCGAGTTTGGACTCATTTTAACGGATTTTTTATGAAGTTGACAAATATGTCAAAATTAAAAGTTCGAACTTTTAATTTTGACAGCTTTACAATTTTTTTTAATGCTTTTTCAGCTTTTTTTTTGCTTAAAAAGTTTACAGGTTAAGATTTAAGAACGCTCTTTTTTAACACAAGAAATATTAAGAAACTTGGGAAAAATTCAAGAATCATCATGTGGCTTAAAAATCGTCGATTTTTTTTAATCAATGTAAAATGACCCAAAAAACACGTTAAAAATAAAAAGAAAGTGCGAAAAAGTGACTAACACTAAATTAACTTCAGTTATAAAACTTCTTTTATATGATAACTAATTTCAGGTTTGAAATGTCAACCTCAATTTTGACATATCTGTAATCTTCATTAAAAATCCTTTAAAATGAGTACAAACACGACATATTTATCTTCAATATTAATGAAGTTATGGTCAACTTCCGGTTAGAAATGTCAACCACAATTTTGACATATTTGTAATCATCGTGAAAAATCCTTTAAGATGAATTTGATTAATCCAACATCGTATTCATGATTAATGACATTAAATTCTCTTTAAAACAAAAAAAAAGATAATAAACTTCTGATTGTCACTTTTTTGAGGTTATGTCAAAATTAAATGTGGGATATCGGGGGTGTTTGTTGATAATCGAGTCTAGTTTGGACTCAATTTGAAGCATTTTTAATTCCCCACACGATCGTGGATAAATAAAAAACCTAACCTCAGTTTATAAACGTCAAATTAATATTATTTGATATTTTCCGCCATCTTGATTAATAATTTTAATTAAATAACAGCGAAATTCTATATTTTTACATAAAAGTCCCCCGCGAACTTAATTTCGTTCAAATCGTATCATTTTTCATTGAATTATCCGACATCTTGTCTTTATTTTGACAGAATTTAATTAAACCAACATCGTATTTGTAAACTATATTAAATTCTCTTTAAAACGAGCCCAACCTCGGTCGAGTTATCTTAAAAGACAACAAACTTCCGATTGTCACTTTTTTGAGGTTATGTCAAAATTAAATGTTGGATATCTCAGGTGTTTTTTAAGATAATTGGGTCGTGTTTGGACTCGATTTAAGGGATTTTTAATTCCCCGCCCGATTATTAATAAAAGAAGAACCTAACCTCACTTTGTAAACGTCAAATTGATATTTTTCGCCATCTTGATTAATAGTTTTAATTAAATAATAATAAAATTCTTTATTTCTAGATCTAAAAATACCCGGTGAATTTAATTTCGTTGGAATCGAATCATTTTTCTTAAATCATCTTCCATTTTGTTTTTATTACTATCGAATTTGATTCATTTAACATCGTATTCGTAATCTACATTAAATTCCCTTTAAAATGAGCCTAAACTCGGTCGAGTTATCTTAAAAAAAAAAAACATACATCACCAACTTCCGGTTGTCACTTTTTTGAGGTTATGTCAAAATTAAATGTGAGATATCTCGGGTGTTTTTTAAGATAATTGGGTCGTGTTTGGACTCAAATTAAAGGATTTTTAATTTCCCACGTGATTATGCACAAAGATAAGACCTAACCTCACTTTGTAAACGTCAAATTAATTTTATTCGTTATTATCCGCAATTTTAACGCAACGTTTTGTTTTTATTTGTATTTATTGACTTATTTTTTCAGTAAACGTCAAATTATTTATTGCCAACGATTCTAGTTCTAGGTATAGTGTTAATTCTACATAGTAACATTGCTAGTGTAAAACTAGAACTAACCTGTATATACTATATACAGGTTATTATTATTTATTCTCTGTAAAATATGGTTCTTATCCGAGATATTATGGTCTGTATGGTGCTGCCGAACTGAGTATTTTGTTGTAACTATATTTAAAGACAATGCCAATACTCAACGGACCTTGGAATACATCATGAAAGAACACCATGAAGTTGTCCATTTGTCTATTATATGATAACTAACTTCAGGCTTAAAATGTCAACCTCAATTTTGACATATTTGTAATCTTTATTAAAAATCCTTTAAAATCAGCACAAACACGACATATTTATCTTCAATATTAATGAGGTTATAGTCAACTTCCGGTTAAGAATGTCAACGTCAATTTTGACATATTTGTAATCGTGAAAAATCCTATAAAATGAGTCCAAACATGATATAAGCAACCTCCTGTTTGAAATGTCAACGTCATTTTGACATATTCTTAATTTTTATAAAATGTCTTAAAATTTGGCACAAAAATGGAAATATCAAAAAAAAAAATCAAAAATTAAGGTTGGTATTAATATGTAATTAAATTGCTAACTTCGGGTTTAATGTTTTTTATTCTAACATTTTTGTTTTTTGAGATAAGTGCGTCATTTTTGTACTCATTTTAAAGGTTTTTTTTAATGAAGATGACAAATATGTCAAAATTGACGTTGACGTTTTCAACCGGAAATGATTGTATCGCCATTATGCCGAGTTTGGACTCGTTTTAAATGATTTTTTTTATGAAGTTGACATATGTCAAAATTAATAGTTGAAAGTTCGAACTTTTTGGTTGATTTGAGAGAAATATCGGGTGAAATATTAATCGTTATCACTTATCTGGTTTTAATTTAGGATGAAACAAACAATCTTCTTGACAGGATAGGATATTATTCAGGATCTTTTTCTTGATAACAGGAACGGATGTTATTCAGGATCTATCATTTATTTAACTTTATATTTTAATTCACTATCTGGTATTTCTTCAGTCAGTAAAATTTTGAGGTTATCTTAGAACTTTTTGATAACTGAGGTTATAAAACCAATTTTTTAACAAAACGACGTGCGCACTAATACGCTATTAAATCGACTGTCCGTAGAAATGCAACTCTCTAAACAAAAACTTCGTACTAAAAATTGAACGCATGTGGCGCCATCTGTTGGGGATTATTTTAGTTGGTTTTGGAATTATTCAGCTAAGAACCGAACGTTAGCTGAAACAAAGCTATAATGTCAATTATAATCTAATTATTTAATCATACTATTATTACTTTATTATACTCTTACCGAAAAATCACTTTAAAATGACGTTTTCATCTGTCATTCTGAACAAACTTCAACTTTTAAAATTTTAATAGTTGAAGTTAGCGGCAAATTTCAAAATATAACACGAATTCGAATCTATACTTTTTAAATTAAAAGAATGTTCCGGATAATAATTGTTATTGCTGTCTCTCATCATTCCCACTATTAATAATTAAATTATTAGTTTAATTAAATTATTTCAATATAGACGCTAATGCCATCTTACGGTGGAATTTCGACATACAATCAGCCCCTGGGGTTGAACTTGACAGATTAATAATTATTTGAAATGTCAAAATTTCAAAATACGTCAATTTAATTTAATTTTTTTTTTAATTCTATGTCTTTAAATAATTCATATTATATTGTTTTAAGAATAAATTTAAATAAATTAAATTTGATTTTTCATAAAAAAATCATCTTTAAGTTTGATTTCAAAAATAAATTAACAAAATAAAAATGAAAAAACCGTTAGTAATGTAATAATACCGGTGGGGGATTCACACGAAAGACGCGGAATTTGCAACGCAGCATAAACTCCTAAATGTTATCGGTTTATTTACAATAACGTTTTAGCGTTTTAATTTTATCTGCGAGTTTTATAACATGAAATAAAAAGCCGGGTAAGTCTCAAAACAGCGGTTAACCTCCAAATTTTATGCAGTTTAAGATCAAATTCCAATTATTGCAACATAATATGTTTTAAGCCCAATTAATTTTAACCTATTTCAGCGGACATTCCAAAACCTAACCTTAAAAAAACATCATGCTATTTAAAATCGTGTTTTCTTCATTATTTTTATGTGTTTTATCAACGACGAGTTTTCCAAACCTTATTTGGACACAAACTTGCACCATACCTATAGGAAGAGATAATATTACGTTTCAAAAGTAAGTTAAATCACATTTATTTGATCACAATTTTAAGTAATTCTTATTTTTAGCTCTTTCATCCAACACAAATATAAAACTGAGGATGTTTTTTTCTCAGCTTGCAAAGATTTATCTCAAATAGGTTGTGATAAAGAGTCATTTGGCTGCCTCTTAAGAGGGGATGAAATAATTAATTTTATTAATAAAACAGAGGAAACATGTATGTTGATTTTTATTCTAATAAAAAAGACTGTTTTAATTAAATTTAATCGTTTTCAGCTGATTATTTTAGGTTAAAAAGTGAGGGGGGTTATTTATTCGATGTAAAAATCAATTTAAGAAGTCCTAAGGTGAGGCTAAGTTTATTTTTTGGTAATAATAATAATTAAGAATTTTTTATTTTAGTATACACTCAATGTAAAATCAAAAAACTTGTATGAACTAGAACTTGATCCACACTTCAAAGAAAATTGTACAAAAACTATTCCAAATGGTCGAAATTTATTTTTAAATGATTTATACCAAAGAGATATTTTTATGGAATCTAAAGAACATGAAGTACATTTAAATTTATGTGAAACAACACCTTTAAAGTGCCCCAATGACGCCTCAATTTGCTTGATTAATAAAAAAACGAATCAATCAACAGAATGGGGGAAAATGGATCATTTAAGTATTGATGATAATTCAGGGAATCTCGTTTTTAATTATAAAACTAAAAAGAAGGGTGGATTACATTCCTCGATTATCTTAAAATGTAATTGGACCACTTCTTTGGGGGCTAAATCCTTTCAAATAGTAAATACAAACAAATTAGAGGTGGTTATAGAAAGTAATCTTGGTTGTTCTAAAAATGATTTGAAATGTGTTGTAAGTTTTTTTTTAAACAACTATTATTAGGAGTCGTTATTTTTTGTTAAATTTAGTTTACAGATGATATTTATACGTATGATTTTTCGAAATTATCCCATTTTAATGGTACAAAGCTTATAGGTTATAAAAAAGGGGAACTTAAATTAAATATTTGTGGTCCCCTTATGAGTCACAAAACATGTTTCGATCAAAAATCCCAAATTTGTCTTTTCGATCATGATTTAAATTATGGAAGCATTCCAACACCAGTTAAAATTGAAAACGATATTATTAAATTTACAATTAAAGGTTAATCATTCTCAATTAACTCCAATTATGATTTAAAAAATGATATTTTTTAGATGGTTCTCAATGTCCAAAAAATTCCACGGTAAATTTACAAACAATTTTTGAATTACATTGTTCTTCTATTGAAGAAGGGCCTAAATTAATAAAAGAGAATGATTGTAGTCTTGAAATACAATGGAAAACACCGAAAGCGTGCCCTAAAGCTAATTCTCCTGTTGGGGGGCTTAGTTATCAAATAAATCGTTCGTGTTCAATTCAACACGCTGATAAAACGTATGATTTAACAATGTTAAGTCGAAGTAAAAGTAATCATGTAGCGAAAAGTGGTGAAATTGAATTTTTGATTAATGTTTGTCGAGCGATTGTTCATGAAGATGATATGGGTTGTAATGAATATATGGCGATGTGTTTAAGAAATCGTTCTGAACCGAACATTAAAAGAAGGTTTAAATAAAATAATACATAGAGTTGCTTACTAAATTGGGTACACAGGGGAATGAAAGGTAGATAATAGACTACCTAAGTCTAAAAAAATGTCACTTAGTTTATTTTATTTTAACACTAATTGAAAATTTGCATATGGTGATTTTTCGTTAGCAACACAGTTAAAAACGAAGATGTTTGGAGGCTTAGGTTGTCTATTGTGAATATTTCAAATTATTATTAATTTATTTTAAAATTCTACAGCCTTATCTTCAACTTATATTAACACATTGACAAGGTGTTGCAAAATGCCATGAGGTTTTAATGCTCTAAACTGCATAGTTTTCGAGATATTGAACTTTTAATGCTACTTGAAAGTACCGTCAAGCATTAAAATATAATATATAAAAATAATACATTTTTTATTACGTTAGAAAATAAGTAACACTTGCTTTAGCTAAATCACATTATGATATTCAAAAAAACAGTTCTTTCTTTCATTACAACATAAATAAACATTGCACGCAGTACATTTTGAGTGGGGTCTAGCTTTGGCAGAACTTCCTCTTTCTTTTGAACTTGCGTTACGACATTTTCGTGGACGCAGTAAATTTGAATATTTATTTATCAGACTTATAGCTACAGAACGACGAAAATCTGATAAATATTTAGCAAAAACTAACATTTTCGCATAATCTAAGTGTCAAAAAAGATGCCAATTCAAAAATTTCTGGAAGCCGTGTTTATTGAAATTAAGAAATGAAACTTATTTTGAATTGAAGCTTAAAGCTTTCTCTTTAAAATGATGTATAATCAATGTTGGGTTGGATTAGAAAAATATTGAGAAAGAAAATGTTGAAACAAAACTTGCATTTTCGTATAACCTAAAAGTGTCAAAAAAGATGCTAATTTAAAAATTCCTGGAAGCCGTATTTATTGAAATTAAGGAATGAGACTTATTCTAAATTAAAGCTCAAAGCTTTCTCTTTAAAATGATGTATAATAATTGTTGGGTTGGATTGGAAAAATATTGAGAAAAAAAATGTTGAAACAAAACTTACATTTTCGTATAACCTAAAAGTGTCAAAAAAGATGCTAATTTAAAAATTCCTGGAAGCCGTATTTATTGAAATTAAGGAATGAGACTTGTTCTAAATTAAAGGTCAAAGCTTTCTCTTTAAAATGATGTATAATAATATTTGGATTAGATTGGAAAAATATTGAGAAAAAACATATTGAGCAAAAACTAACATTTTCGCATAATCTAAGAGTCAAAAAAGATGCTAATTCAAAAATTTCTGGAAGTCGTGTTTATTGAAATTAAAAAATGAAACTTATTTTAAATTGAAGGTTAAAGCTTTCTCTTTAAAATGATGTATAATAATTGTTGGGTTGGATTGGAAAAATATTGAGAAAAAAAATGTTGAAACAAAACTTACATTTTCGTATAACCTAAAAGTGTCAAAAAAGATGCTAATTTAAAAATTCCTGGAAGCCGTATTTATTGAAATTAAGGAATGAGACTTGTTCTAAATTAAAGTTCCAAGCTTTCTTTTTAAAATGATCTATAATAATCGTTGGGTTGGATTGGAAAATTATTGAAAAAAAAAATGTTAAAATATAACTTACATTTTCGTATAACCCAAAAGTGTCAAAAAACTTGCTAATTTAAAAATTCCTGGAAGCCGTATTTATTGAAATTAACGAATGAGATTTATTCTAAATTAAAGCTCAAAGCTTTCTCTTTAAAATGATGTATAATAATTGTTGGGTTGGATTGGAAAAATATTAAGAAATACAAGGTTGAAACAAAACTTACATTGTCGTATAACCTAAAAGTGTCAAAAAAGATGCTAATTTAATAATTCCTGGAAGCTGTATTTATTGAAATTAAGGAATGAGACTTGTTCTAAATTAAAGCTCAAAGCTTTCTCTTTAAAATGATGTATAATAATTGTTGGGTTGGATTGGAAAAATATTGAGAAAAAAAATGTTGAAACAAAACTTACATTTTCGTATAACCTAAAAGTGTCAAAAAAGATGCTAATTTAAAAATTCCTGGAAGCCGTATTTATTGAAATTAAGGAATGAGACTTATTCTAAATTAAAGCTCAAAGCTTTCTCTTTAAAATGATGTATAATAATTGTTGGGTTGGATTGGAAAAATATTGAGAAAAAAAATGTTGAAACAAAACTTACATTTTCGTATAACCTAAAAGTGTCAAAAAAGATGCTAATTTAAAAATTCCTGGAAGCCGTATTTATTGAAATTAAGGAATGAGACTTATTCTAAATTAAAGCTCAAAGCTTTCTCTTTAAAATGATGTATAATAATTGTTGGGTTGGATTGGAAAAATATTGAGAAAAAAAATGTTGAAACAAAACTTACATTTTCGTATAACCTAAAAGTGTCAAAAAAGATGCTAATTTAAAAATTCCTGGAAGCCGTATTTATTGAAATTAAGGAATGAGACTTATTCTAAATTAAAGCTCAAAGCTTTCTCTTTAAAATGATGTATAATAATTGTTGGGTTGGATTGGAAAAATATTGAGAAAAAAAATGTTGAAACAAAACTTACATTTTCGTATAACCTAAAAGTGTCAAAAAAGATGCTAATTTAAAAATTCCTGGAAGCCGTATTTATTGAAATTAAGGAATGAGACTTATTCTAAATTAAAGCTCAAAGCTTTCTCTTTAAAATGATGTATAATAATTGTTGGGTTGGATTGGAAAAATATTGAGAAAAAAAATGTTGAAACAAAACTTACATTTTCGTATAACCTAAAAGTGTCAAAAAAGATGCTAATTTAAAAATTCCTGGAAGCCGTATTTATTGAAATTAAGGAATGAGACTTATTCTAAATTAAAGCTCAAAGCTTTCTCTTTAAAATGATGTATAATAATTGTTGGGTTGGATTGGAAAAATATTGAGAAAAAAAATGTTGAAACAAAACTTACATTTTCGTATAATCTAAAAGTGTCAAAAAAGTTGCTAATTTAAAAATTACTGGAAGCCGTATCTATTGAAATTAAGGAATGAGACTTAGTTTAAATTAAAGCTCAAAGCTTCCTCTTTAAAATGATGTATAATAATTGTTGGGTTGGATTGGAAAAATATTGAGAAAAAAAAGGTTGAAACAAAACTTACATTTTCGTGATTTTCGTATAACCCAAAAGTGTCAAAAAAGATGCTAATTTAATAATTTCTGGAAGCCGTATTTATTGAAATTAAGGAATGAGACTTGTTCTAAATTAAAGCTCAATGCTTTTTTTTTTAAATGATCTGTAATAATCTCACCTAATAACCATTTAATAATAACCAACAACAGCACTTTTCACTAAACTTCCAACCTCACATTTGGACGAATAAGTTTAAATATACAGATTCTTTCTTGTATAGTAGAAAGTACCGACAGCTCTAAATGCACCGAATAGATTACAGTTTAAAATGACTGTTTAAAACTACCGGTACTTTAAAGTACTGTCGAGACACAAAGAGTTAAATTATTTACCTACTTCAAAATTAACAACTGGTAGAATGGATTTCAATTATAATTATTTCTTACATACGCTTGTATAAAAATTACTAAACTACACGTTTCCGGAGCGGTTATGATGTGGACGATATGATTATTATGTGCGTTGCCATGGTAACAGAGACAGTTTAAACAAAGGATAGTTGCTGGCGTTATCAGTTAAATAATATCTACTAGAGAAATGGTACATTTAACGGAAACAGAACAAATTATTATTTTAACAATGGTTGGTTTTGGAGATCGTATGAGAACGCAACATGAAGTATGTGTTTTATTTAATAAAACATATCCAAATCGACAACCAATTAGTCAATCGGTTGTTAGTAAAACTTTAAAACATTTTAAGGGGACGGGTCATGTAAAGGATATTCGAAAATGCGGTCGGCCGAATGTTGCAACAAATGAAGATATGAAGCAAGGTGTGTTAGAAAAAATAACTAGCTTTAAATTTCGATGTCAGTACAGGATCTATTCAAAATCCTTATAAACCGGCTTTACTGCAACAGTTATCAGAAGATGATTTTGATAGAGGTGTACAATTTTGTGAAAAAAATGATAATATTTTCTGACACAAGATCCACCTCACTATCAACTAAATGTACGCAGGCTTTTAGATGAAGTATTTTTGAATCGTTGAACAACATTTTGAACATTTCATTTAATACTATTACCGTTTTTGTTTTTTTATTTCCTGTTATTGATCGTTATAAAATTATTATTTGTTACAATTAAATGAACTAGTAACTACCCATGTTCTTTGAACTAAAATTGCACTAATAAACAAAAAAATGACGAAAACCTGTTGCGCTGTTTTGAAAGAAAGATATTCCGCCACACATGCATGTGTATTTAGGAAAACGGAATATGGAGAAGACGTTACAACTTTGAGTTTGTAGCAGCTCTATGAAGAACCGCATATTGTACAATCCATCAAAAAAAATAGGTTAAGATAACCCGGCTATCTAGAAAAGATAATCCCCAAAGCAAATGTTTCGCCAAACTGTTGTTGGAACTCACATAAAAGGCTGGCCTAGAAGCAGATATAAGGACCAGGTGGAAGAAAGTGTAAAAATGCTGGGAGTTAGAAACTGAAAGGCCAAGGCATGAGATAGAAGGGAGTGCAATCTGATGCTGGAACAGACCAAGACCCACCACAGCTCTTTCTACGTACAGGTTGAGCATATACACCCTTTTTGATTACAAAATCCTCGGTTGTTCCAGCGTTATTTACTCGCACTTTCGCATTTTGGTACCAATATAGATTACCAATTAGTCTTATATCATTTGCATCCAGTCCCAGATCTCTAAGGTATGTGACTTTCTTTGATCTTGGCAATTTTGCACAAGTATCTGGAGACTAAACATGGCTTTTCTGATTCCAAATCCGGAAAACTAACTGGTTCCACTTGCTTCCTCACATTTTCGATAAAGCCTTTTATTCTTTGGACAAGGATGCATTCTTAACGTCTCACAGTGGGGTATTTCACATAGAAACATGATTAAAAGTCGGAAATACAGATTCACAGAAATCAAGGCGGCTGCTGTCACTTAACGTGACCAAGTGTTTAGGAAACAATTTTCCGCATTCTTTATTGGTGTCCGGTTCCTCTACACTGCGTAATCAGTTGTCATTTGCGCTCTTTGGTGTATGCACGTATTTCGCCAAATTATCATATTAAATCGACGGCATACATTTAAAGGTGCTTTTGTGTATTGTACAGTGAGCAGTGAAAATTTTTGTAATGGATGTTACAGACCCAGGTATGTATAAATAGAATCAAGTACTTTTTTCAAGTTTAATTCTATAGTCTTAGTTATTTTTTATTTATTCTATTTGTGCATGGCACCCACTTCCG